ATTTATTAAATAACTAAATTTTTATTGTTCATATGTGGTTAATAAAAAATTAATAACATCTCAATAAAAGTATTAATTAGTGATATACTTGAAAAAGTGCAGTAATAAAAATATAAAGTAAAAGTGATGAACCACGTACTAAACATTCAGTAACAAATAGAGCTATTAAAATGCTAGAACTGCGGCATATACGAAATTGTTGAAGAAAATGATCAAATTAAAATAACAGACTATATTAATAATGGAACATCAGCGCAAAATACTAGTTATATACTAGTTTCCCATAAATATTATATTTTATAACAATACTTAAAAAATATATAGTATTGTGACCAAAAAGAAAAAATCTTGCTAATAAATTGAAAATTATTAGTAAATTTTTCGCTGTTTAGAAAGATCAGAAGAATTCTTTAAAACTGATTTGTCAGATCATTAAAAAAGCTAAGAAATCACATTCCAAAAGAACTGCTAAAGCTATATTTTAAGGGTTTAAAAAGGTTTTTACACTTCAAGATTTATATGGTAACATAATAGGCTACCAAGCCTGTGGTACATTTCTAGTATCACTGTAATAACCCAATTTTAATTAAAATAAATATGTTAAATTTGTTTTTTTTTTTAATATTTTTTTTATATTTCTATTACAAAAAATTATATAGGTATATGTCTCATTTAAGTAATGATACATATTTATATTATGAATATAATATTTTTTGAATATACTTAGCAGGGTTAAATATATTTCTTGATAGTGTCGTATATAGTACTAGAACACTAAGATTGGTTATCATTGAGAGAAACATTTTATGTCTGGAATTAAAATATACTATATTTCTATTAATTTTTTCCATTTAATTTTAATTGAAACTTATAAAGAAGACTCAGCTTTTAATTCTAACAATTTTCTAATGTGTATTAATTTAGTGTTATTTATTTTAGTATTATCCTGTACCTTCGTGATAAAACATATTATTATGTTAGCTGTATTCGGCTGCTCCGAAATGTATAATAAAAATTTTTGCATACTGTTAAAATTATTTTTATCCTCCACTTTTTGTTTTAAATATTTAAATATTTTTTTTTTTACAATTTTCAAATTAAAGAAACTTTTTAATTTTGTTTGAAATATGACTGGAATATTCATTAAGATTTCCAATGAAATTTTTGCAGCTGTAGCTAAGATGATTAAGTAAATTACTTAACTAGCAAGACAGTGGTGTTGTTGTGTTAGAAACTTTAGCAGAAGAATTGTTATGTTTTGCTACATTTCGGAGAGACTGAATACACCTATTCTTATACACCTATTGTACACCTATAACATAATATATATTATGTTACTGTTAAGAATCTGAAATAGGAAAAGTATACTAATTTCACCCCACTATAAAATTTGGTTCTAATTTGGTTAAACTAAGTTTAAGTTGAATATCACTAATATTATAGGAAAAATAGGAGAAATTAGAAACACTTCACGCCACTATGTGACTCAGTTTCTATTTATTTTTATAAGATTGGGATAAGATTGGTAATTCATTAGATATTGCAATGAATGCATATAGTCATTGGAAACTATTAGAAAATGTATCTCACCTAGCTTCAACTTTTTTATTTAATATTTGTTTAATTGCAATTAGATTCCAATTTATTTAGTTGGGATAATATTAATTTAGATTTCGGTAAATATTGCAATAATAAACGAAATTGAAAAAGTCACCCCGCCTTATTTTATATATTTAATATTTATTTATTCGGGATAAGGTTTCAATTTTCACTCAGAATTCATTCGATAATGCTATATGTAGAAAAACATAGTAATAGAAAATAGAACAAATACTAATAAGTAATAAATAATAAGTAATAAAAAAAGTTAGAAGAAGGTGGGTAGCCTCATTTTATTTTTTTAATATTTATCTGTTTGCGATTAGATTACAAATTATTTTTATAAGTTTGATTTTATTTTCATACATATATATAGAGATCATTAGATTATTAGGTATTTCATTAAATATTGAATATGTTTAGTTTTTATATGTCATTATTTTTCTAATTCACTTTTTATAGTATATTTTAAGTGTTTCAAAAATTAACATAAAATTTAATAAGATGTATCGAACATATTTAGAAGCCCTAGGTTTATTCTGTATTTAATATACTTAATAACAAAAACCATATCTATGTTTAAAATACATATCAAAAATTTATATATTAGTCTAAAAATTTACTTACGTTTTTTTTTAAGATTTATATATTATTATTTATTTTAATTTTTTTTTTTAACAACGAATTTATTTAATTAAACTCCATCTGAATATGAACACAGAATTTGCAACTTTGCTAAACTAATTAAAAGACAATCAGAGAATTACTATGCAAATTGTAATATTAAATGAAATAAAAAGTATACATAATAAAAGTTATATTTTTTTTTGTTTTAAACAAAATAAATTAGAAAAATCATAAAAAAAAACTTCAAACGAGTGTGTTTAAAAATTTGCAAATTGCAAAGCATTAAGAACGCGTTCAACATAAAATAAATTTCAGTAATTGGCATTACCACAAACACAGTCTACTTGCTTCCATTTGCTGGCTAATGCTCAGACTTTTGCTCCATTCATTCATTCATTTTGGCAAAGCGCCTAAGACACTTCTCCACATATGCCTTATGCCTTATGCTGTTTACAGTTTACAGTTTACAGTTTGCTGTTTGCTGTTGACGACGCAATGGCGCATTCTTTCACGAAATCCCTGTTTTAATTTTCGTCCTTTTGCGCAAAAATCATCAGCGTTAATGTTGTTGTTAAATTATATTAAAAATTTCAAAACTCAAAAATTGTTACGTGTTCGTTTTGCGAAAACACGGCCATGACGTCGACACGTACAAAATAAATTATATATATTAAAAAACAACTACAACAGGATAAATATAGTTTGTGTTACATACAAAATGGCGACAGAGTTCATGCTTCGTGCATACCACGCGAAAATACACGATCAAATTTTCAAATGTTTAAATTTTCAACTATTTAACTTTTACATATGGATGTATATAATATATATTGTATATGCTTTTGTTTTTGTTTTTGTTTTTAATTTCTTCTGTTTTGTCATTTTAATTCATTTTGTTTATTTATTTAATTTGCTTTATTATTATTGTCAAACAAAGGAAATTAGAAATAAGAATAAAATACAACAACAAATACACAACATTCGTTGTGAGTGTGAACACGTAGTACATAATAACTAACCAACACGGGTAAGTAAATAAGAGAGATAGTTAAATAGATAGAGATAGTTATAAATAGATAGATAGAGGAAACACAAAGTGAATTTTATTAATTAAAAATTAAGAAATAAAAGTATTTACACAAAAATGAGTGGAAATTCAATTTAATATGAAACACATCCAAATGCAATATGAAAAAAATAAAACACAAGAGTTTTGTGAAATTAATAATCGAAGGATTTAACTTATTTTTTTTTGTTTTTTGTATTGATATGTTTTAGGTTAACACTGATAAAGCTTATATATACAACAACAATAACAATTGTAATAATAATAGTAATAAAAATAATAATCATAATAAACTAAATAATAGCGTTATGCCAAAGTATAAGTTTGAAAGATAAAATCAACAAAATCACAAAAAGTTCTTTCAGTTAAAATATGCAAAAATATACTGTGTTGAAATCATATATTTGCTAGTGTGTGTGTTAGTGTTTTTGTGTAGAATTTATAATAAAAAAGTTATTATAATAACAAAAGATAATAGAAAAAGTAATAATAACAAAATCACTCCGTGTTTGTGGTTATCACTCACAGCGGTTGTCTTATAACAAACTTAAGTTAGCAACGCATATAATCGCAATGTGTTACAGTTATGACTTCATAAAGCCTACGAGTTTGTTATAAACTCAAACCACTGTAACAATTTAAGTTTTATTAAAAGAATAAACATATCGAATATAAAACATAAAAAATAAACATACAAAGAAAATTGAAAACAAAAAATTTGAAAAACTATACATATAAAATACAAAAAAAAAATACATATAAAATTCAAATCAAAAAAAAAAATATAAAAAGGAATTAATGTACAAAAAGTGAAACACAAAAACGAAAATATAAAATATAAAACATAAAAAAGGCAGAAAGTAAAAGCAACTTGTACCGAATATACGAAAACAAAAGATCTTGTGTATTTGCACGTGTGTATTTCCATATACGAGTACACCGTGACGTATGAGTAACGCATTTTATGTATTTCGTTCGTATTCAATGAATGAATATTTATGAGAAGTGTTTGAGAGTTTTTGCTTTTGTTGTGATTAAATCAATATAAAATATTCAAATAATATGCAATATGATGAGAAATGTAGTTTTTATGTTATTTTATTGTTTTACTTTTAAATATTGTTAAATGCATTTGTACAACAACAACATAAGATGATACGACATTAATTGTTTTTGATTTTTTCTGTTTTGCTTTTTTTGTAATTGTATTGGAATGCAAAATATAACTTACCTCTTGTGGTGGTACATCATATGTTCGAGTACGCAAGTCCACCCTTGCGTAGGAGTCAATACATGGTAAAATGAAAAATATTCCTGAAAAAAATGAAATTTAAGAAATATTAATTATGTTAATAATTTGAGTTTATGATTAATAGAAATATTTTTAAAATAAATTAGATGCAGTAAAGTATCTTTAACATAGTACATAAGTAAAAATGGAATGCGTAAAAAATTAAAAATTTGTTAACTAATTAATGGAATTATTTTTAGACTCAAATAGATTTATAAAATAATTTAAAAAATTTTAAGTTTATGAAAAAGATAAGGATACCCTAGGAACATATGTAACTGAAAATGAAATGAGTAAAAAATAAATAATTCATTTATTTTAATTCTTTAAAAAAAATTATTTTAATTTTGATATTTTTTTGTATGCTCTTGGATTAGGAACTAGGAATTATAATTATACTCTAATAAAACTAAAAAATAAAATCTTAAGCTTAGAAAAAGATACCCACATGAACATATATAACTAATAATGAAATTTGTAAAAAATTAATAAATTATTTATTTTAATGCTCAAAAAAATTATTTTAATTTTAATCCTTTTTTGTGGACAATAAACCTAAAAAATTAAAATCTTAACTTTATGGAAAAGATGGGATAAGTAAAAAATTAATAACACATTTATTTCTACGTTCAAAGATATTATTTTAGTTTTAATATCTTTTTGTGGACTATAAGATTAATTTTTTTTTTCATTCAATCATGAATTGGTTTTATTTTATCATAAATTTTATTTAAATTTATTAACAAGTTCAATATTTCCATGGTCACCTTAAGATACTATGCATTTTGTTTTACATAAAAATAAAATTGACCTGATATTAAAAATAAAAGTTTTAAGATATTCTAGGCAGTACAGTACTATTTTTATAATCCATAAATTTTAAATAATTATTATTAAAGTACAATAAAAAAATTCAAACTTTTTATTCTGATTATGGCAAACCAAAAATTTTTCAAAAATTCAATTTGACAAATACATGCAAGGCAAAACACATACGTAAAACTATATGATAGCAAATGTATGCAGGAAAAGTTATATACAGTCGACGATCTGATAACGATCAAGGGAGTGTTGAAAACCATGTAAAGTATGATGTTATGAAGGCAGCATACACCGATCACCATAACAAAACATTAATCAGTTATGAATATATAGTAAGGAATGTAATACACTCAGAAATTTGGTTGATTTAACTAGATTTTAATTAAACCTCAGGTCAAAATATTCTTACACATCATGTAGGTTCAACCATATCACATATAGGCTTTTATATCTTCTTTACCACATGAGCTAAAATTATTAACAATAATGATCATCTCTCATCTCTAACAAAATCAATCAATTTAACAACATAGTATTTGGTTAGAGCACACTTTTTTGAGTGTAGTAATCTACAGAGTAAAGACAGTGGGAATATTTTATTATTAAACTTGTGTTAAAATATATCAAAAGTAAAAATATATTGAAAGCCTCAATTGTAATATAATATTCTTTGTTTCACTTAAATAATATATTATATTTTACAAATGAAGTTATATATATTATTAAAAAAATTACTACAAGAAAGTAAATTCTGAAACTGTACTGCACATAAATTAATTTCAATGATAAATATGACGAATTTACATAAGTAAACCTCAACAATTCTTCTTAAAATGGTTTTATACAAAAGAACAAAAAAATTGTGAAGATATAAACTACATATATATGTATATATAAATGTTTTTTCTTTTTTTGTGGAGAACAAATAAGAATGTCATAACATGAATAAAAATGCTAAATTAGATCAAGTGGCGCAATTAACATGAATTGCTTGGAACGTTGGCTTCATACTTACCAGGACCTTTGGCTCCGCCTTGCATTAAGCGACCTAAACGGAATATAACAGCACGTTCGTATTCCTGCACCACCTGAAAAATACGTGGAAAATATAAATAAAAATATTTTCCTCACAATAACAAAACATAAAAATAACAACAAAAACAAAAAAAAAACATGAAATAAAACAAACATTTGAAGCAGCAGAGAAAGTATATGAATGGGAAAATTTCTTTTATAAAAGAAATAAAATAAAAAGAGATTCAATGAATAAATAAAAAGAAATGGCAATGGCAAATGGTAAATGGGAAATGGAAAATGGCAAAATGCATAAACTTTGAAATATAATTTTTCAAAGTCCATTTATCAGAGTTTTCTGCTTTACTGCCTCGTATGCAAAAGTGTTATGCAGAAGATGTCAATTGCTCTACTTACCTTGAAGCAAACAAACAAACTGAAGGGCAACGTCAGTATTACCAGGGCAACCGATAGGAATATTAGCAATTTTCCACACGTTGATGCCTTATCACTGATGTCTTCATCGGCTAATAAAAAATGTGTATAAATGAAATATTATTAATTTTTTAAATAATTTCATTTCAAATAATCTCACATAAAATAACATACATAACTATTTTTTATTAAATATATACATAACAATTTTTTAATAACAGACACTTCAACTAAAAAAACTTTTGATTGTAAATTCTTATCTGAAATTTTTTCTGAAATATTAATTAATTTTTAAATGCCAGCACAGACTATTTTTAACCATTTTTTTTTTGTTTACTTTATTCAAATTGAAATTCATTTTGTTTTTTTTTCTTTTATTTTTCAATTTTTGAATTTAAATAGAATATTAAAAATATTGCATAAATTTAAAATATTGCAGTTCGTAACGCTAAAAAACTTATAATACGTTTAATATGAAAATAATTTATTTTTTATGGCATCAGAAGAGATTTGTAGTTTTTCTACCGTCTCATGGAAAGTTTTTGAAATGTGGTTAAGTAAAACTCATCAAAGTTTTAAGTAGTTGGATAACACTTTGAAAAGTGAATTAAAAATAAATTTTCAAATTCCGTTTGCATTTTACGAAATTTGAAAATAATAGCCATCGTGACACGTTATAAAAATTTATTGTTTCAAAGTTTTGCATAAATTGGGTGTTATTACCTACATTGGGTTAAACCAGAACAGAGTTTTTGGTTTGTTTTTTAGTCAGTCATTAGAATACAATCTGTTTTGATCGAATTCATCATCATTAGTTTATATTTTGTAACAATTAAATTCAGTTTAATCGAAAATATATATCACTAATATATCATATCATATGTATATATCATATGCAATCAAATGAGCAGACCAGCAATGACCTGGAGAAGGACAATTCAGCTGGAGACGGGCAAATCGTTTAGCATGTTAACAGCAATAACACAAAATAGAAACCAGTGGAAGACTTTTGTAGACACCTTAATCTCCTAATGAACTACGGAAACAATAATAATAATCAAATGAAAGATGAAATAAAATTTTAATATCGGATGTTTTTTTAGCTGCCTGAAAAATTAAAATGATAATACAAGATAGAAATATTTTTTCTATCTTTTAATTTGTGTTATTATAATCTGGTAAATAATTTCATGGTAATTATTTTTTGAATCTGATTTCCCGCATATGCCGCGGCTACGAGTTACATGCTCCATTCGATCAGTTCAATTTTTTAAATATTTTTTGCAATAAATGTGACCGTATGGCGTTAATGGTGGATGAACATTGGCTTGCAATATTTCAAGGGTTGTTGATTTGTTGGCATAAACCAATGACAACATTACCCTATAAAAACAGGACCAGTTAACAGGACCACTTCTAGAAATAAAGTCAACAAATTGATTTCGCAACATATCGATTGTCAAGCGTGCTCAATGGAAAGGCGCTGTCTTGTGGTCGATGAAACCTATTGGCGTCGATGTTTAACTGATTAATTTTTGGAAACAAAAACTCGGGCAGCATGCCTCGATAGCCATTAGCCGTAATGGCAATTCCTTTCTCATTTTTGCTTCGAAAGAAATAAAGATGGATAATACCGCCAGCTTGTAAATTGCACCAAGCAATCAATTTTAATGAATGTAATAGTGATTCGTTAAGGGCTTGAGGATTATCTTCCTTCCATATACGGAAATTTTACTTATTTTACGTAGCCATTTAATCAAAAACTCTATGAATTTCACAAAAATATTTACTTTTTTAAAGTATATTTCCACAATTTAGAAGCATTAAGGGATTCAGTATGAATTGCTAAACCTTACTGAACAGATATGTCAACATAATTTTGCATTCCCCGTTGTCAAACCATAGTTATCAATAATGATAATTCTTATGCAGGTAAAAAACAACTACGATACAATTTGTCTATATCAGAAAAAGCATTACAACAAGATACATTTTGAAAGTGAAAAGGTTTTAAAGATCGTATGCTTCTGTATGCATATTTGCTATTAAGCGGATTAAATTCTGATACATATTACTGAACATCCCTGTTTTGACCAAAGTGGCAAAGTACGGAGAGAAGTTCAATCGAAATTTCTCTCTTGCTCTTATTCTTAAATTTTTAGTGTATTCTGATATGACTCTCTATATTATGTCTTTTGCGCATGACCAAAAAGAGCATAAAATTTACGCGACCATTTGTAATATGACTGTCTGCATAACATGATCCTAAGAAAATTCGTAAGTTACGTTCAGTGTTGCCAGATTGGAATTGCATTAAGTATTTAAAAGTGGTAATAAACAATATGAAATAAAAAGTGGTGAAGAGAACTGATATTTTGTTTAATTCTCGGATATATTTCTAATGCATATTTCTAACTAATTTTTGAGAAATATTATTCTGTGAAAATAATATATACGTATATGTATAAGTGCAATTAACATGTTAAAAATGAGTTCTTTCAATTCGTATACTTTTTAAAATAACATAGTAGCGTACTGTTCTTAAATTTTTAAGATATACTCAATTAAAATTAAGAATTTTATTTTTTATAAATTAAAAACTTCTTTATTTATTATTATTTGAGTTGTCGTTTTCAGTATAATTGGCGTTCTTAAAACTTTATGTAGACGAATTTTCAAAATTATTAGGAGGTAAGATTACTACTTTGCATATGTCATGTTAGTAATAATTTTTTGCACAGACTTCCACCGGTGAGAGGGTTTATTTCCAGATCTTTTTTGATTACAATTTTAAAAGATGCTGTGGTCTTCGAGTGGTAAGATTTGTAATTATGATCATTTATATCATTATAATATATTTTGTTTAGTCTTGGAGAATTAAATATAAAACAGAATCCTGCACAATACAACACTAAAAAGCACTTATAACAGAATTTCTCGGTTCTTGCTTATTGGGTGCTTTATTTTACGATTGGTAAGATTCATAATATTAATCTTAATAATATTAAATTATTAATATTTTGTGAACAGTTAGTTTTGAATACCAAGTATTTAACAGTGGATTTATTTTGCACAATATTATAGCACTTCTTGTCGCACCAGTTTCTGCACGTTCACAAGTAGTAAAGTGGTAAGGGTTATAACTATTTAGTACTATTTTGGTAATCTTTTTTTGAATAATTCGAATAATTAAATATAACGAAATTAAACTTAATATTTTAGCATTATTTTAGGTGTGTTTCCGATTTTATTTAAAAAATTAATTTTAATTGTAGTAATTATTATTAAATTATTTTCCATAAAAACTATTAACATGGAATATAAATTATATTTAAAAAATATAATTAGATCATATATAATAATATATGAACAATATTGATATTTTAATATTAATTATTAATTCATTTTTCTATTTTCTATTTTAATATGGTAAGAATATAAGAAAATATACTAGAAACATTTTTTGTTAGGAATACATTCAATTGGAAGAGAGCGTCGACTCACAGAATAGTAAGAATAATAATTTTTAAGATTTTATTTATTAAATAATTTTCTCTATATGTAGAATTGATTAGTCGCTTTCTGATGTATGATAAACTATATACTTCAAAAATATTTTAAGGTAAGCATGAGATTAATATATATTATAATTCTGTACTATAATACCTTATAACTATAATAATAGTTATATATTATAGTTATATAAATTATATAAATTACATTCCTAAACATTTTTTTATCTATGTATAAATGTTAACAAATATTTATATGATCATTAAAATAAACATTAACAAATTGTTTAAATCTGTATACATTTTCTGATTGACTTGCATATATTTTGCAGAATTTTGAAGGTTCCGATTATAAGAGTGTCATTGGACTTCCGTAAGATATATTTTTTTATTTACCCTAAAAAGTAGAATACTATTTAGGTGTTCAAAAGCACATCATTAATATCTTTCTTAGTCCAGTTTTATTTTAAGCACATCTACATTTTTTAAGATAATTTATTGCACTTTTTTTAGGAAACTGTAAAAATGGCTGACAACAACACTGTTATATCCAAAATATTTAAGCAATTTCAAGAGAGTGTAGATGAAGAATTTTTCATTGAGAACCCCCGCTTGCTGGATATATTTAATATAGCCAAAAAAGCTTTAAAGATTTTATTAATAGTAGGATCAATTCTATTGACCCTCTATAATATATTTTATAAATAATAAAGCATGATTTTGTAAAAATTTATTTTTGTTTTTTAATTTAAAATATTGTTTTTAACAAATATAAATTACTGCATATATGTACTAAAATTGATGACTCTACACATCGATTATTGGATGACTTTGACGCAATAAAGAGGATGAAATTAGTGTCAGTAGCTATGAATACACAGGGTCTAATTTAGCTGGTACATTTTTTAAACAATCTTGCTTAAATAATTTATAATTTTTCAATCAACTGAAGCGAGATTTTACATCAATTCCAAAATATATGTACAATTTAAAATGTTTCTAATGCACTACACCATTAGCATGTAACATTTTTGTCTCTATAGTTCTATAAATAATAGTTCGAGTATAGTAGACTCAAAGGCAATGCTACAGCTACCAATGCATTTTCAAAATTTCAGTATTCAAAAGAATATTTTAAAGCTATTTATAAACTGATGCAATGACTAGTTTGAATTTGTTCAAGAAAACACAAAATCGAAATGTCAACAAAGTGAAAACAGGAACAACAGTGAAACAAGGATTTATTTTTGCAATAGGGCATCAACATATGTTATAACAAGATTTAATTTATTATGTTAATTTATATCAATTTCTATACGATGATGAAATAATAGAAATTAATGTTACTAATAATCCTCAGGGACCTCAAGATTGATCCAATCAAAAAATTTATTAAGGGTAGAGTCCTGAAATTATTTGCGAAACCTGAGAGACTTACCAACACGCGTTATCAAATCTCAGAATGGTTACAGGCTCCTCGGGAAGGTATGCAGATCTGAGGTCAATTATTGCTTAGTCTGATGAAGTGATAAACAATAATCCAGTCAAGGCGTAGAGGGGTTTTAAAAATACCTCGAGTTAAGAAAGTGTAAAAGTGCTCAAGTGCACTGGCTCAAATAGAAATAAATAAATAATAATATTACATGCATTGGCGTTTCCAGTCAGAGCATGATACTGCATATTATTCTGTGAGCTAGAAAATGTAATTAAAGAAAGCATTATCTAAGACCAAACGATTTATTGGCGGTAAATTCTTTTCAGTGGAAGTTATTATTGAATAAAGAGAGTGAATTATAAAAATAACAATGATTCGAGACTTGGAAGTAAATATCGAATGTGCTATGCATAAAGACACAAATATTTGAACAGTTAAGGAAAATTAGACTTTTAAAATATGTTTATAAAATTTTGCCATTTTGTCTCATTATCATGTCTCATTATTAATGTCACTACTGTATATGGTATTTATCTATTGTATGAATTTATGTATCAAAAAATAAATATTTCCTATCAGTTTGAAATGAAATCTTATACCACTTAAAAAATATATTATACTTACTGCTTTAGCCAAAATGCTATTATAAAATAACTATTGTCTTGCGCTTGAACTGTATCAAATATTATTTTTTATTTTTTTTAACTCTTATTGTGAAAAAATATCTCATTATTAGCAAGAACTCTACTGTACAAAAGTTTCATCTCATTTATTAGGTGGTAGTTTGAATTAATGGCTGATTTGCCACACATATATGAAACCATGGCTGCTTAAAGTAGAAAAACTCACGATGCAACGTCTTTCTATCTTAAAAGCATAATGGGCAGCTACGCCCATAATATAAGCGAAACAAATATCTTGTACTTTATTTTTCGTTATCGTTTTACTATTATTTATTATTTTTATAAAAACTAATTCACACGCAAAAAAAAATAGTTTGTGAAGTTATTGTGTTTTCTTTATATACTCGCAGTATAGAAACATGTTCAATTGCCTTGAGGTACCAAATTCCACACGTCGGTACTAAGATCCTCTACACCATTTAAATATATTTTTGAATGAAAATCAATAATCAAATGGAATAATTTTATGCTTTAACATTAATAATTTTTCAAATCACACATATTATTTATTAGTGATTTTTTTTATCACTATTATTTGATTCATATAATAACTTTAAATCAAATTTAATGATACCCAACTGCGTAATTATTTAGAGTCATAAAACACCTTGGAAGTGTTCATTTCAATAGCTTTTCATCTGTTTTCATTTTTCTTTTCTTTTTTAAGATGAAATGTATTATTTTTTATCTCATTTCACTAAATTCATTTTAATTATTTTCTTTTTCCTCTTTTTTTTTCTAATTTATTCAATTTCTGTTACTAGGAAACTCTTAGCTGTAGTGAAAGCGCAGAAGAAACTAAGAAAATTGAGCTTTAATTAAAATGTAGCGCATGGAACTCTTAATTTGGGTTCTTTTCTCGGTGGGCTGTAACTGCTGATGGGGGATTTGTAATTGGTACAAGGCAATTGTTAGCTAATTTCAGTTAACACTACGTCAAGCAGCAATTGAAAAGGATATTATTTTTCTCTAACAAATGATGAAAAAAAAGGAAAAAATTAGTACTAAGTAGAAAAAATTTTTTTGGCATTGAGCTAAAAACAGTTTTATGAGTTTATGGTGTAAAGTTTTTAATTGTAAATTTATTTTAAAAAAAAAAATTATAACAAAATTTATGTATCGCCTTTCAGTATACTTATATATCCTAGACAACGCCAATCTTCTGATTGCCAATTTCTCATAGAAGTAATGTAATAATAACAGCTCAGATAAAAGCCAAATATAATTAGTGAATATTTTTCTTTAGGAATATCGCACTCTCATGGAAACCACAAAAGCAACAACACAACAGTTCAGATAAATAAACTTCAACTGAAACAGGGCGGCCATGGCGATACATTTGTGCTTTCTTATCAAAATAACAGCGCAGAGTAAAGATAATATTAATAATTTTGTGTAATGTACGAGCACAGAACAGTAAATAAACAAAAAAAACAAATATGAAAAAAAGAAAAATTACACTCAGTGCAAAAAGTTAATACACAAAAAAATCAACAAAAAAGTTCATTTGAAGACAAACGAACACGTATAATCCGCAACGCTGCAAATGAAATATGCAAAAAGCACACAAATAACTAATGAAATAAAGAAGAAGGATACGCAACTGGATATTATCCTGCACACAATTGTGGTAGCTCAAATAATAAATATTTAATTTGGTTTTATATTCAGTTCCTCTTTTTTTGCAGCAAACGCAACAAAAGGTTGCCTGCCAAATTCATACTCGATTTGTTGGTTGGTCCTTTTTCAGATACATATTTTCCTTAGACACTAAATAAATATTTAATGTAAGCAGCGACAACATGACGCCGCAATTCCCATGAATTGACATTAATTGAATCAACAGTGATTTCTTGTTTACAATTAAATCCATCCATTCATCCCAAATTATATACCAGAAAAAAAAATAAATTTGAATTTTATACAGTCCCCAGGCATAAATAAGAATTTCAAATTTCAAATATTAAATCATTTTTCTTATAATTTTTTTTTTGTTTTTTTTTTAAGCATTAATTTACACTTACAATGAAGAAATCCGCGAGAATGTTTAGCGGTCATATCTGAAAATATAATTTTGGAAAATTTGTATAGAATTCTTGAATGTGTTAAAAGGGTTGCCTTTATTTTATCTTGGTAAATTCTCAGTGGTTAAATAACAACAACAGCTGACATGCTATAAGGTTTACTAAAACAAAAAACAAAATTATTTATTTATATACGAGTAATTATAAAGAACAGTATCATTGTACGAGTTATTCTATACAACCTATGAAGCAGCAAATTACGCTTATCATATAATTTATATCTTCAGCTTTTAAAACAATAAATACAAACAAATAAGTTCAGGAACAGCATGAATCCTGTCCATTATTTTAAGGCAATTCGATTAAGTACACATATTTACTACTGATATATATATGTATATGTCTCTATATAAATTTGTACAAATATACACAATGCATTCATTATAAAAGCATACGAATAATCAACTTAAAATTAATTTGCTCTACAGATAATTAAATGAGTTTTATTTATAGTAGTTTTAAATCATTTACAACATACAATAGGCGCAATCTATGAGTACAATATAGATTATATGGCTTAATTGTATAAGTTTTAAGCAACAATTTTACAATAAACAAAATGAATATAAATATGAATATGAGATATATGAATATGTGATATATAATTAATATATATGTAGTGAATGTAGCATGCTCTAAATTATTTTGTATAGATTATATTATATTTATTATATGTGAGTTCAATAATTGAGTCACATGTGTAAAATTAAATTATAATAATATTAAAGAAATATATTATAATATGATAATTATTATATGATAATTATAATAATGTTGAAGAAGAAATATTACTTTTATCTTAAAGAAATTAACTAAATACGAAATATTTAATATTACGTCATATAATATATTAAATTCAGTTGAATAATTGAGTCACATGTGTAAAATTAAATTATAATAATGTGAATAATGTTAAGTTATAAATATTAAATGATATATTTAAATTATTTTTTAATAACGGTGAAGAAATATTATTCTTCTTTTTAAAAAAATAGTTTAAATTCAATATATTTAATATTACGTGATAGTGACTAAATAGTGACTATTTTATTTTATAAAAAACCTTATATTTACTAAAAAAGCTTCGAATAGTAGTGAACCACAACATCAGAAATCCTTTATATATTTAATTTAATAATAATTTTATATTACTTTCATGTTTAATTAAATTTACAGCAAGTGTATTTGTTAATGAACTTTCACAGCAAATTAACAAATTAACTACAAGTTCGAACAAAGAAGTCAAGTACGGCTTTAGGTCAGTTGGCTAATGAACACTGACTCTGAGATTCAAATTTGGCAGGGCACGAGTTCAACTATTGGTACTTGCAATCTCAAAAAATTATTAAGGAATAATTAAATGTAAAAAAAAAATTCCAAGACCATTGGTAATTGGCATTTGACAAATTATCGAAACAACTATATGATTAACCAAAAATTTAAAAAATAATATAAAAAGAATTTTTGTTGTAGTTGTTCACTACTTTTCGAAACCTCTCACTTATGTTATATAACATATAAATTATTAATTTAAAACGCACTTTAAAATAAGTGAAGTGATTAATTAACACTGAATTAATTATATTCGTATTCAAAACCATAAGATATTGTAGATATTAAAGGATGTCTTCCAATGAGTAAGAAATTATTGATATAAGAAAATGAATTAATTATGTAATTTATCTCTCTGCAAACAATTATTAATCATCTTTATTAATTTATTTTAAGAAATTTGTGTTTTTGAGTAGAGTGTCAAAAGTAAACGAAAACGTTATCTAAATTATGCAAGATTAAAACTTGATAACAGCAACATATAGTAAAATTGGAAAACTTCGTGAAATATCTGCGTCTAGCTTTTCTAAAGAAATTTATAAATAATAGACACATAATGAAGAAAAGGTCTACCTCTACAGTGATTGCAAGATAGGGCACAGTTGCATTTATATTTGCAAATGTGTACAATAAAATTGGAGCTTAAAAAGGACCACTTATTAAAAACGAGTACCAGAGTACCATACGGAAAAAAAGGTACAAATTTTGGTACTAAAGTATTATATGTGGCAACCGTGCATATAATTCCAACGTAAAAGGGGAGACAAAGAGGAAAAGATAGAGAGAAAGAGAGAGAGAGGAAAAAGAGAGAGGTATGGTGAGATAAAGAGAGAGAGAGAGGAAAAGTGGGAGAGAGGAATTAAGAGAGATAGAGAGGGGGAAGGAGAGAGAAACAGATAGAGATAAAATATAATTCGGTAAAAGCAATACTGAAGAGAGAAACATATCCGTCTTTTTAAGTCTGAAAATTGTTAAAACAATAGCGGTTTGAGATGTGTTTTAAAATACCTGTGGATTGAAAATTCGCCTGGAAACCCTATATCATTAAATAGATAGTAATGCATTAAATTGGCTTAAATCTCTTCCAGACACCTACACATACTAAGGGACCGATTTAATTATTAATTGAGATCGAAGTGTCCAATAACGATTACTTAAGGATTACTTAGCCATCAGTTGGTATAAGAAAATCACACCAAAAAATTTTTAAAAAAATTTTTTCAAATATAAATTGTATTTAGTTAATTAAATTAAAAATTTATTACAAAAATTAATTAGAAGTTTATTACAAATGCTTACTACTAACGCAATTTTGAAATTGAAGAAATTTGTTATGTTATTTAAATTTAAATAATATTTTAGTATTTAGTTGTTTTAAGAAATGACTTTTTTTTTATCGCATAATGAATTGTGGTTAAAAGATTTAGAATTTTTTCCTTAACATTAGCTCACGTCTTAAAAATGTGTAATACATATTAATATGTAACACATATTATTCTATTTTGTACTCTATGCTATAATACTATAATGTTATTTATATTAATAGTATTGTCATGTTACTCATAATTAAAATCCATTTTTAAATTTTTATACTGTAAAAACCATTATCAGTTAAAAATTAAAAACAAGATGTCACAGATGTGTAACATATATAGTAAATCTAATAAAATAAAATATTAAGTTTATATAAAAAGCATATTCAAAAAGTTCCTTCATCTGTTTCAAAGAAGAAATTTGTTTTTATATGATTTTTTTAAAAATTTAATATTTAATATTTTAACTTAATTTTACTTCTCTTACTAAATTTGGTAGTGAAAAACAAGCATAATAAAAAACAAAAACGATTAGTTAATTAACTTGAAAATTTTTACTTCAAAATATAACCACGCGCTGAGGATACATGAAGAATCAGCATTTAGATTAAAAAAAAATCACAGCGAATTTATAAAAAAAAAAATAATTAACTTTGAATTTTGTTACTTAAATCCAAAATTCAGCGGAAAAGTGATGCAACACTCAAACAATGTATATTGGCCGAACATTGTTGCCATGACGATAGATGGTATCAATATGAGCATGAAATTGCAGATTGTTGGATCCCAAGTTAAGTACGTCGCGAATGAAGCAGCCAACAGTTAAAGTATCTGGATTTTGTTGAGAGTGCCTAGTCCATATTGCAATTTTGTTAATTTTTGTACGAATATTGACGACAACACCACATATTTCACCGGACTGGGCAAAGTTTTCACCAATAGCCACTAGCATTGTATCAAGCCACAAACTATTGAAAACATCTGTGGAAGTTTTATTAAGAGTTATAATCCAACGGCCACCATACTTATTTCCATCATCTTCCCACATTGGGCGAATACCTTTACGAAAAAGTGAATAATCACTACCAATTTTTAGAGCCGATGGCGGCTTAATGCGACTATATAGTAGCCAAAACTCCTCCACTGTATCAAAGCTTATAATTTCGTTTTGCATTTCATCCCAAGGCCTAGATCTATCATTCTCAAGATACCACATAGTCCAAGAATTCAGTAATTTATGTTTTCTAATATGTTCCATAGGAAAATGTAGAGCAAAATGATTTGGCATTGATACAGTTCCTGACAATTGTAAAGGCCGACCAGCATACATCAACTCACTGTCTTTCAACACACCATGCATAAAATGTTGTTCACTTGGTAGAATTTGTGAGTCTGAAGATGATGATTCACAACTGTCCGAGAGTTGCATATTTTCGATAACTTCGGCGTTCATTTTGATAACTATTTATAGCGAAAAAAAAATCAAAAAAAAATGTGAGGCAGTAAAATGTGAACCGAATTTTATTAAAAGTTGTATTCCACTTACCAAAAAATCACTAAACTTACGAAAAAAACAATTATACAAAATTTTAAACTTTTTTTGTATTTTGAGAAACGATCGGAAGAAATTAAAAATTTATTTGTATTTAAAATTTACGTTTATATTTTTTCTGCAGCTTTATGAATACTAGATTTGTTGATTAAAATACTCGAAATTTTACTTTTTTGTTAAAATGTGATAATATTATCAATTTATACAATTTTGGAATATATTCTTACGAAGAAAAGAAGTGGTACCCACAGGAAATTTGGAGTAAAACAGCAAATAAAAACGAGTGCTGGTATTAAAACGAAAATGACATATCATTCAAAAAAAAAACTAGAGTTGCCAAACTCTAGTTCTTGCATACTAAACCGTTATTCACACGTCTTTCTGAAATCTTGCAATAATAATATAACAATGTGTATTATAGAACAAAATGATGGATTGCATATATTTTGCATCCAAACTATTTTTAATACTATAAGCGCATTGTAACTACGCTATCTTCTCAATATTCCGATTTTGGGATAAGCGATAGAAGTATATTCATTAGTTATATAAATCGTTTACTGCTTAACTCTTTTCATGGTGAGCCAAATAGGTTAGGCTCAAATAATGTATATTGCACCCGAATTGACTTATTATATCTCGTATGATATGAGAGCACCGATATATGCTCACAAATTTCTGTACAAAATTACAATTAAAATCTTTGATTTTATTTTCTGAATCTCGAAACTTAAAAATTGCGATTATCTCTCTCGCATATATGTTGACACATCAGAATGATCGATAGCAAGAGTTCATATATGCGAAAATATGATTAAATTTAAATGTTTACACTACGTAAATGAAATTAAGAAATACTGAAATGAAATAAAAAACGAAAGGCAATTACTAATATCACAAAACATTTAACATTTTAAATGGAATTTAATATAATTAAATTATTTATTAGTTATTTATGTGCGTTAAGCCAGACCTCCAACACTACTATTCACCAACTAGAAATTGCACAAAGTCAGGCTCTGAGAAAACTTTTCAAGGTGCCATGGTACATTAGGACGAATGGCATCCTCAGAGATCTCAAGATAGATCCGAACAAAAAATATTTAAAGGATAGAGCCCTGAAAGTATTAACGAAAACTGACAGGTTTATCAACACTGTGTTATGGAATCTCAGAACGGTTACAGGCTCCTCGGGGAGGTATGCAGATCTGAGTTCAGTTATTGCTTAATGTGAAGAAGTGATAAATAATAATCCAGTCAAAAGAGTAAAAGTGCTCAAGTAATAATATAGATATTATTATTCATTTATCGAGGATGATTGCTTAATATACGTAATACTGCTATGACACTCAAACTCATTTTGATGCCAATGATTTCCTGAGTCAATCTTGAATCTTCATTAATTTTGGATTTAGCCAGAGCTTACTCTATCAATGAAAAATTTCGTCTGACTTTCGGGAGACTCATCTTCCAAAGAAAAACGCTTGATCTGAAATCTCCAAAACCAATTCGTGACGGTCACGCTGAAATTAATAAAAAATGACAAACCAGATCTTAGAATGGTATTTGCACCTAAACTTCATTAGTGCGGTTTTTTATTTTTATTTTGACTATTAACAGTAAAACTTCCAATCTAATATCAGAAGACTCTGCCAAATCAATTTCCGTTTTTGATTTGTCGAAAATTTCTTCTGCGTTGCTAATTAGTTGAACTATTATTTGCCCCTTTATAATACCGAATTTGGTTCAGCTCCGGAAAGTGGAATATTTTAATTTTTATGGAAGATTTTCAAAAGTTTATTATTTGCTTTTATTTGAAAATTACTTATTATATTATTGATACATTGATTTTAATGAAAAATGTGACAAATTTGTCCTATGTTTAACAATTGTTAGACATTTTTCAAGATGAATGTGAAAATGCAATAAATACAATACAGGTGTTAACCAATAAAAATATTAAATTAAAAAATGAATTTATGGTTTTTTATTTTTAATTTTTGAGTTGTTACAATATTAACAATTTAAAATTATTTGTTTTCTTTTTTTATTTCAGAACAAAAACATTCTTACACTGCATTCACACGACAGTTTTGATGGTAATTTCAGCTGTTATTTCGAATTAATCTTGATTTAGATAGAAAATCAAGTTAAAATCAAAAAAATTTGTATTAAAATTTTGACATCTGATATAAGGATTGAATTGTAATATCAATAAAATCAAGTTAATTTTAATTTGCCAGTTCACCGTAGTACACTACAAACTTGTGCTATTGTGAATAGTTTTAAGGAATAAGTGAAATTTTCATACAAAATGAAACAAAACTGTGAAATATCAATTTTATAATGCGTGGTAAATATTTTTCAAAATAGTGAAAATATTTGTTGTACACATAAACCATGAATTCTATTAAAAATTACAATTCTATCTGTATTGATTTTATTTATTTCAATATTAAAGCCCGAAATATAGCTATTTAAATAATTTATTTTGTTTGCTGTCAAATATTATTAAAATTTAAGTGTAACTATTTTTCCATCTGACAATCAAATTACAATTATACGTCGTGTGAATAGTTATTTTTGCTTTTTAATATCAGATGTCACATTATAATGTTTGACAGTTACAATTACAATCACAACTCTCGTGTGAATATAGCATTAATCGCAATTTAACCAAAATGATTGAATAATAATTAAAAAAAGCTACTATTAAAATAACAGAATTATGTGTTATTTTAATGAATGCAATTTTTTATTCTACCATCCATACTTTACACAAAATTGAACTTTGACTAACTCAAAAAGTTTTTAAAGCTCATAAATGTAATGTAGATATGAAATTCATTAATGGAGCGAGTTATTAAAGTTCGAAACCAGTGGAAGACTACATAAATTGAACATTGACTGAAACTTGACTGAAAAATGTAGAAATTATTTAAAAATTATAATCTTTATTCTTTATGTTTTATTTAGCTTTTATTTTTTTCAGCTTTTTGACTTTTAAATATTTACACCCCTTTTTATAAAAAAAACTTATGAAATAAAATTGCAAAATATAATATTTTCTACTTTTCAATTAAAACACCCTAATCCAAAAAAGTACTAACATTAATGAGTAGTTGAAGAATTTTGTTTTCTTTCATCAAGAATATTAACTTAATCAGGTTGAAATACCTTGAGTGTGATGAAATGCACAAAAGCAATTAATCTTTAATGTTATTTATTAATAATTTCTTCTTAATGTAAAAATAGTATTCTATAATATTTGAACAGTTTTTATTACTTATTTCAACGGTTTACCGTAACAAACTAAAATCATATCTACAAATATTAAAGTATCTTTTATAGAAGTACGCAACTGCGCATTCAATTTATTGCATGACCTTTCAAAAGCATTAGTTTTCATTGCTCCATAAATCCACATACAGAAGATCTTTTCTAATATTTATTTTAATTTCTTAAGTGCACGTTTTTGTTAAAAATAATAACTTTTATATACCACATCTGTATTAGATATGACAATGTAACCGTAATAAGATACTAGCAACAGATTAACAACAGATGTTTACCAAAGGATATAAAAGAACTATTTACTTTAAGTGCAGTTACTTATATTAGTTTTCAGAACTTTTTGTGTGTTCTCGACAATGTATTTCATTTTACTTATAAATACCATATTCGCATTTAGAATTTATTATACTCGTATTTGATATGAAAATAATTAAATCAAAGCTCAGAAAACAGATTATTTTGTTTGAAGTAAGTTGGTGTGTAAAAGGATCTTTACGTATTTAATTATATATACCTATATATATACATATACGTACGTACTAAGTGTATATTTATATACACTTACTACTCATATACTAGGTGTTAGAAAGAAAAATTCTTTAAAAATATTTCACTACGTAAAAATGCTGAATGAAAACTATGACGTGCTCTAGAATAAACTACTTCCAAACCCTAATAATAGAGAAGATAATGTTAAAGTCATAGAATTCTATGCGATGAAACACCATATGAATTGCTAACTACACTGCCACTCAAATTAGAAGCTGTTTGATAGCGAAAAAGATAGGATTGAACGTAATATCAACAAACTCAAGTTGATTTCAACTTTGACAGTTCACCGTAGTACGATATTGTGCAGCACAAAGTTTATGCTATTGTGAATAGTTTTTTGGAATGAATGAAATTTTCATGCGAAGTGAAATAAAATGGATATACTTCATATTTATAGTGTAAAGTAAATATTTTGTCAAAATAGTGAAAAGGTTTGCTGTATACGTAAACCACAAATTTTTGTAATTATGCATTTCTACATTAAATCCATAAATGTTAAACTATTTATTGTGTGAAATGTCCAACATTTTTAAAATTTAAGCCTAACTATTTTTTCATCTGCCAAGTAAATTACAATAATACGTCATGTGAACTGTTATTTTGCTATTTAATATCAGATGCGAGTTTATAATTTCGACAGCAGAAATTACAATCAAAACTTGTCTGAATACAATATAAGTCTTTCTTCCCTTGAAGTTATTTCAAAAACCCATCAAATTCCGATGAAGTCAAGTTTGGGAAAATAAAATATATTGAAATTGAAATATATTGAAGAATATTTTTCTATAATATTTAAATATTGTATTTATTTAAAAGTAGTGCAATTTAAATAAAATTTCACTACAAATTAATATTTTTATATTAATTTTTATTTTAATTTACAATGCATTTTATATATGCATATTTTTATATTGTATCATTGTGCCTCTGTGTATATTCCAATAAAAAATAGCACTACCAATTTTCTTGTTCATCTTGGATCATATTTATATGTTATTCTCCATGCGCCAAATATATATTGGACAGATGGCCATAAAATTGATATATTCGCATGACGATAAAATGAGTTTAATATTTAATAAATTAAAATGAAATTTTAAATATCAAATAAAATTAGCATAATTTGAAAAGCTAAATCATTTGTATGATATTTAATGGCTTAGTCAAAATATATCTTTATTATCTTAAGTATATCTCTACCTAACAGAAACAAAACTAACAAGATCGCAAAAAAAAAGCAACCTACCAATAACTCACGAAGTAGTCAAGTTATATGATCCCTTCGAAAAGCAAAATCTTCTGAACAGTGTATGTAAGACAATGAAGTCAAAATAGAACGGATGGAACAGTTTTGCTTAAAAGAAACTCGGAAGCAAAAAGACCAACATTTATTCCTCAGACATAGATGAATACATCAACGCGTTTCTGATGTAAATGCTATAAACTCTTCATGTGCACCATAACATGAAATGTAGTGTGAAAGAATTTATTTGTATTGCCAAAATGCATGCAACTATATAGAGAAGATAATGTATAGTCTTAATCAACATTATTATGCAAACTGGTCTCTCTTTTCTACGCTTTATTCAATAACTTCAGTATAAACTAGTTGTGATAGTAACTTAAATTTCAATTCTCTATCTCCAAGTTGTTAAAATTTTTATTAAAATTATTTAATAGGAAAAAATTTGAAGGAAAACCCAATTAATAATAAAATACCCATGTAATTTTATTTCTAAAAAAAAAAATTAAAGATTTGTAAGCACCATATATATTGTATTTGCAAGACACCGTACACATGTGAACTGAAATCAAAATAACTAATTGTTATTATTATTAATGTATTATTTGTAAATAGGTACTTCTAATAACTCTATACGAAGGGTATTTAATAGTCAGAAATACCAAATCAATAATAACTTGATGATGCATTATCATTTTGGGGGCGTCAAGTTCACATTTGAAGTATGTATCTTAAAAACATAAATTATTAAAAATAAAAATAAAATTAATAAAATTTATTTTCAAAAGTTATATTCAATTATTCGCATTTGAATAATCAAAATGATCGCACAACGCTCAATTTGGATATTTATTTTATATCATATTTTTGTCACTTTTTCCACAACTGAAAGTAAAGAAGTATTAAGTGATGCTTCGTACTCAAATAGCCCAGAAATATGTGGAAGATTTGGTTCATACACAAAAATAGGTAACAACTATTATAAAATTCATCTTGCAAAGGTAGATATATTTACTATTTATATATATATATAACCTATAGAGTTCGAATCCTTTTATTATGATGTTAAATTGTATGTTTTTAATGCCCTACAGGTTACTTGGTTTCACGCACTTCACGTATGTCGTAGAGAAGGTGCTGACTTAGCTACAATAACGGAGGAATATCAAATGAATGCAATATCAAATCATTTAATGTCTCTAGGATATGGAGAGAGTGATTGGTTTTGGATAGGCGCCAATGACTTAGCAACAGAGAAAACATTTGAATGGGTTCATAATGGTGAGAAAATGTCATTTAGTAGATGGTCACGGCCCCAGCCAGATAATGCTGGTGGCAATGAGGATTGTGTACATTTGTGGTTACGTGAAGGACAATTTAAAATGAACGATTGGAATTGTGATCAAGGGAAGGCGTATTTTATCTGTGAAGCTCCTGAACCCGCAACTGTTACAATTTGGTAAAGTTTAAAAGTAATGCTTTAATATAATTGTGTAATGTATTGAGTTTTATTTGAAGAACTTATTTTTTATGCATAAATAAATTAATTTTCATCACATTTTAATTAACACTGAATTGAACAATGTAAATAATTTGCTGGAATTGCGGTTCTAAACTTCTGTCGAAAGTAGGGGTCACTTTAAATTGTGCTTGATTTTATCTAAAAATTTGAATATTTGTTAACCTACGAAAGTAAAATACAGAAGAATTCTCAAAAGAATAACTATTTTTTTTATAAGTTTTTTATTTTCAGATTAATGTGACTTTTTTTATTAGACATGGGAGTTCGACCCATTTTTAAAATTGTTCTTTGGCGTCAAAAACTCTTCGTTTTTATTTGCGAATCCTGATATAGAACGTATAGATATAGATAAAGATATAGAACGTATGATTTGAATCTGCTTTATATGTTAAGGGTAGGACTGATGTAAGATTCTTGATTTGAAAACATGAAGAATATCTCGAAGCAGTTTCTTCAACCTTGAAATATCTTGAAACTACTTCTTTTTAAGAAGAACAAAACGAACAGAACTGTTTCTTAGCGTCAACTTTTGTTACTCGATTTTTTGGATTGATGGTGTATGTGAGTAGGTAAAATTTTGGAACAAAATAAAAGCCTAACATCTTAAAACCCTGGTAGTGCATGTACAGGTCCATTAATTTAATTTCTTATAATCGTTAGAATTTATAGTTCTTTATAGTCACTATGTGTGTACTTTATTAGTTCTGGTAAGAACTTTTATTTTGGAACTATGATGCTACTGCACTTAATACTAACTAGATTTCTATTCCCAATTCTCTGCTCATTTCTTAAGAAAAAAGAAAGTACTATTGTAAAAATAAATTATATATTTCTTTATCACATCTGTTAAGAAATTTTAGTACCAGTTCTATATTCATGCCTTATGAAAATAAAAAAAACGTTATCTTCATAAATCGCTATTACAAATTCTATAATTGACTTTGTTTAAATATTGTGTTGTGTCTTAAGTAATCAGCTGATTTGTTCTATTTCATTGAAAACAATGCTTTCATTTATTTGTGCAAGAATATGGGGAAGTTGGGAACACCGCTGAATACATCTGCTTGATATTAATACTATATAATCTGTACAAGAAAGATGTGAATTGTATTTATATTAAATACAATATTCTTACTCAGTTTAAAATATTAATATCAATAGTAATATATTAATATCAGCATTAATATTTAATGCTATTAAAAATTGGTATAATCGAAGTTTCTTCCAAACAGTTGTATCGATCTCCATGATAATTATTCTACGTAGCTTATATATAAAACGGTAGAACATAGGCTATAATATTTGTATTTAGATTTTCTTTTATATTGCCGAATAAATTAACATGATATTTATATCATATAATTTCTACATAAATGAGTATAATATAGACCACAAAATTTTTTAAAGGATTAAAATCGAATTCATCTGAAAGTTGGTACATCGTATGTACTCTAAAAATTTCATTAGTTGATATGTAAATAAAAGTTCTTTACTATGTATTTCCTATATAAGATAAGACCAAATCGTAGAAAGTTTTCAATTAACTGGCAGCTTTGTAAATACTGACTATACTTTTAAACCTTCATTAAGTGTTATATAGAAATCTTTTGGAGCTCCCATAAAAAGGGATAATTTTATAAAATTTATTTTATTATTTTATAAATTTAATTTTTAAAATCAGAGGTGATTTTGCAACTTAAAAATTAATAAACATCCGACTAAGTAAGAATTCCTATTAAACTCCTAATTTCTTTAAATATTTCTGGAGGTTCCTCGCACAAATTGTTTCTTAAAGCTGGAGCGCCAATTATTATTTTAGACAGCATTAATCTATATTAATAATTGTGTTATCAAATAAGTTGAATTTTCAAAACACTGTTGCTAAGTGTTATTTAAACAGAAATTGTAAATAGAGAGTCATAAGAAAAGGTTGTTCTATTACTAACCATGATTCCTAAGCCAGTAAATGTTAACATTTTGTGGTGCATTCTTTAGTTCCTCTTACTATGTGACACTTTTTTCTCAGTATATAGATATAGATATTCCGAAATGCTACATTACATATTTCATTATATTATAAACAAGAGAATAATATCTTATTAAACATTCAAAAATAGTTTTAAACTATAAGGGAAAAAGAGTTTAAAGAATATAAAACATTATTAAAAGTTTTAGTAAGTAGATATAATATTGTATATTTTTTGTATCATATTTTTAAATACCACAATAATAAAGACCATAATAGTATATATACAACACAAAAAATTTAACAAAAAATTTAACAAAAACTATTCACAAAACAAGCAACACACACAGTAGTCCATACTGTGTAATGCCAATATTTAGAAAAAGCACATTAACTACGTCAGCAGGTATTGTGCTGGGTCATCACTGCGTATACGTTATTGTCTTTTACCAAAAAGCTTCAACAATAATTGGCCCACTTTTGTTTTAATCGCTTCAAATCTACTGCACTTGCTACATTATTCAGTTGGATGAATATCATAAAAACGAAACGAAAAAATTTTTTAAATTATTGGTGGTGAGAATAATAATTCTTGATACTCGTATATAAAGACAGTCCTTGACAACTTAGAAAGATTCAATTTCAAAACTTTTTAAAGGTTGACAATTTACATTTCTAAACAAAAGAGGTTGTTCTATTACACATAACATAATATGTGTATATTATACATTTAGTTATATGTAAAATAATTTAAAAATAAAACAAAACTTACTGAATTTTTTTTTAAAAATATATAAAAAAAGCTATTGATAAGAATCTAAAATCAAAATTTGGCAGAATAAAAATACTTTAGTTCTTTGAAGTTAATGTCGGTCTCAACGCTTATTGCCAAACAATAAACCTGTTGAATAATTACACAAAATGTTATGCACAAAGCACGAATTCAAGTGACCTCATCAACACATAAGCACATAAATTTTTTTCTGTGTGTGAGCCCAGAAAAATTTTCAACGACTACAACCGACAAAAAAAGAGAAACCTTTGACAAATTTTATTACATGAAAGTGACAGCAGTTTAGAATATCATTTGTTATAATATACCTCGTTTCATGCCAATATTTATTTAGCTATTACCGTAATTTATTTTTTTTTTAAGCAACAAGTATCAAATACACTTAGGAATACACTTAAAAGCACATTACAGGTAACATAAAGCATAGAAAAACCCAAAGCAGTTTACACTGGTTATTTGTTAAGAAGAAGCATTTGTTACAGATAAACATATATTGGTTAGTATTATAGCCATTAATGAAACATGCAAAGCCGTTAAAGATTTAAAAATCTATGAATTGCTAATATATAATAGTTTATATACTATGTATACGTATGTACATGTATGTACAAGTGAAATAATTCATTTATCACTGATGTGTGTTCGCACAACCACTTCACTGCATCTAGTACTTACCTCTTCTGTGATCTGCGACTGATATGGTGTCTGGCATGTTTGGCCTCCAGTAAGGTTTGTTGGCAATTATTTATAAATTTAGTTTGGTGTGTTTTAGGACGGACTTATTTTTCAATAGCGTGGCTTGTTACAAACGTTGCTATGTTCGTTAATACAGTTATGAGCGTATTTTATTACTAAATGAATAAAAGACTTAATTGCCAGTTATATGCCACTAAATGTGTGTGTATAAGTTGATTTTGTAACCGTTTTGAGTGTTGGCCAAAACACAAAAGGGTTTATTAGCCTCTTGAGCGTGTTTATGTAGTAGTTTGTTTATAGGTTTGATAATTTATGCACACAATCACCATCATATGTTTTCAGTTATTAATATAATATTTGGCGCGTTATACAAATTATTAGCACTATTATATAGAATACATATGTTACCATAAACGTTTTTCAAAAATTTGACAATTTTCAGTTGGCAACGACTTTAATTTATTTTCACTGCATTCATTACAAATTTAATATTTCGTACAATGAACTTAAAGTTGTGCCTAAAACACAGTTTTTTCGCTCTTAAGAGGTTCAAGTAGAAAATTAGCAATTTAGATTTTTTTTCCACACATATATAACATTCGGTAGTGCTAATGCCACAAGCAACAACAACAACGACAGCAACAACATCGGCTCACACACTTCTAAGAAAATACTGACACTACTATTGTTGCGCACCCTAGATTTCGTATCTTTAATGATCCTATTATTACTGCATCAACGAAACAACTGAATTCATTTTGCATCCGCATATCGTTTTTATAAATAATTCATCTGATAGCAAATGTTCACGCTCAGGGAGCGAAAAGCTTGCCGTTGCACTTTCGTAAGGATTTTATATACAAAAGCTTAAACGTAATAGTATAAAAACCATAAAAACACCACTTACACTTAAGCTCACGAAAGCTTTAGGTAAATGCTTTCTTAGCTTTAGAATTATTTTACTCGCTCTCGCGGAAGTTTGTTGCTTAATGCACAAATCCTTTTTACAGATTGCACTGACCTTGCGCACTCCCCAACGTATTGAGTTCTTTCTATGAAAAGTTACAACTTCGGGAATATTTACGTGTTTAGTTTCTTTCGAAAATGCGTAAATAAAGTGGTATAAAGCTCTTCACTTCAATTATTGTAAAGCACACAAAAAGCTCTTATTTTTCGACCAAATCTCTTGGGAGCAATATTCGATGAGTATTTAATACGTACAGCCGTTAAAAGGTGCTGTTAACATTATTTACTCAACATAAACTGTACATATATATGGTCGAGTTCTTGATGCTCAGAGCTAGAAATAAGCAACTGCATCAGCTTTAATAATACATGCTTTCCTACAATTGTCAGTAATTGAATCAAGTAAACAAACATAAAAGTTGACATACTTTCCTAATGACGGATAAAGGAGTTTTAATTAGAAGGTATATCAGGTGCACTCAAAAAGTATAGTTGAAGGTAACAGAACTAAGTGTT